CTCCATCAATAGATTTATTTCCACACACTTAAAAGAATTTAGAGCCTTAGGGAAAAAAGACTTGCAACAAAAATATGTTTCTTGAACTGACCTGGGTGAACAGTTAGCACATGAATTAATACTTTCTCTAGTCCATTGACTTCAGGCTTATGGATCTGAATTTATGCAAGCTGCAGCTAGGCAAACTGTGACCTAAAACAGGCCATCAATAGATTTATTTCCACACACTTAAAAGAATTTAGAGCCTTAGGGAAAAAAGACTTGCAACAAAAATATGTTTCTTGAACTGACCTGGGTGAACAGTTAGCACATGAATTAATACTTTCTCTAGTCCATTGACTTCAGGCTTATGGATCTGAATTTATGCAAGCTGCAGCTAGGCAAACTGTGACCTAAAACAGGTAGCATCTCATTTTTCTGCTTGTGTGATCACTCCTAAGTGTAATTGCTAGGCCACAGACTAGATGAATCCAGAGTTGGAAATGGGTTTGATGATCTTTGTAGTAAATATTCAAACCCCACGTTTACCTAGTCCTCTCTACCTCCACCTTAGGCATCCCAACTCAAGCTCCTGTGATGAGTGTCTGTGGTCTGAATTAGCATCAAACAGCCTCTTGAAGCACACATAAGTAATAACTTGATAACAAAATATATCAATAACAAAATATATCAAAAGACATTCATGTCTTTTAGCTTTTTTAGAGTTTCTGTTTGTCATGACAAGGACTACTGAGGTACTGGAACAGAAGAACAAGGCATGAGTTTGTCAAAAGTTATGTAGAGTTGTTGGTTTAAATATAGCTCTAGACAGCAGTGACTATAAATGGTTTCCATATCTGATATCATTGGTGGCCTATGCAAAATGGGTCAGGTTTTAGTTTATGGTTGACAGGATGACACATCTTAGAAACCACCACCTCACATGGCATTACTTGGTGACGTTTTGTCTTAGCAGAGAAGGCAAATACTGAAAAGTCTGGAATCAGTGGGTTCATGTCAGGTTTGTGGCTCACTGATAAGGCACTTAAAAGTAAGCGGTTTCTGCCTAAGCTCTGTGTGGGTCGTTACATGCAGGACTTGAGTCTCTAGGCGTGTCAGTGCAGGGACTTTCCTCAGCTTCAAAATAAAAAATAAAAATCTTTAAAAAATAAGATACGGCATAAGTTAAGATAGAGAGAGGTTTGGGGGCAGAACTAACATATTAAATGTATTAAAGGCGAACGCAAACTAAGCAAAGAGTAGCAATGAGTTACTGACACACCTGAATGGGATAATGTCTTAAGCTTTAGCTAAACAATGGACAAACACTACAAAAAGGCAGGAGAGTTATATCAGGTATATTCCTTTTTGACCAAGTTGGTGAATCGGCAGTGTGTAGGATATATTAACAATAATATTTCCTTTCTTTCACTCTTGACTTGTTTTGTATACTTAGATTGCAGTTCTTCGGGGTTGGGAGGAGTGTCTGTTGACTGTCTTTACATAGAGTCTAGCCCCATGAGGTCCTGATCCCACTTGAATCCTTTCTATGTGCTGCCATAATACAAATAGACAACACTAATAAATATGTAATGCTGTTCATATTGCTGCTTTATAGAGCAATTAAGAGAGCTCAATAAATAAGTATGTGTGGTGTTTTATATAATGCTCATCCCCATGGGAAATTAAGCGCCTACTCTGTTTGGATAAAAAAGACCTTGTGTAAACTTCCATCTAAAAGAGTGGTGGGCAACCTGAATCCCACGGGCTGCATACGACCCAAAGGGGTTTTATGAGCAGCCCATGCACCCGCTCTCTGCCCCTTCTTCCATGCCTCAGCAGATTTGTGGCATTCAAGCTCTGGAAGGGAGAGGAGGAGCAGAGAAAGGGCACAAATGAGTCAATTCCTGGTGCTCCAGAAGACCAGGGAGGGAGAGGGAGAAGCAGGCATGGGACATGGTTGAGAGAGGAGGCAGGGCAGAGGCCAGGCAGGAACTCGATGTTGTGAAGTAAGTGTAAATGTTTCATTTTTATTTTTTGAAGTTGATGACAGTTTTATTAATATATGAATGATTAAAGCATTTTGAATTGTTTTGAAATATTCAGCATGTCATGTACTAATGTATTTAATCTTATTCTTGGGGTCATGGTTAGTGCACATGACTGATTTCAATCTTTCAGCCCACTCGGTAGACTTGGTTGCCCATTGCTGATCTAAAATTTGAATTGGATTTTTTTAAAGGATTCACAATATTTGATTAAGTTATTAAAAATTTTGCTGACTTCTCTGTTCTGGTCAGAACCAAAAGTCACATATCGTGGAAGCCTCATATGAAGATAGGGATTTTTTTTTCTTTTACCTGTTCAATTATTTAATCTCTTAAGGGTACGTCTACATTTACTCCCTAGTTCAGACTAGTGATGCTAATGTAGGCGACCGAAATTGCTAATGAAGCGGGGATTTAAATATCCCACGCTTCATTAGCAAGATCTCGCCGGCGTGCTAGTTCGAATTACAGCTGATTCAAATGAGGAAGTGTGTGCCGGGACGCAATAGTTTGAACCAAAGCCCTTGGTACGAACTAATGTTACTCCTCGTGTTTATACTTGAGTCTATTATGTTTAGATACCAGTCACTATACCTACATTTTTTAGGCTGGTCTGCTCTTTTGTTTACTCCCAGAAACTAGAAGAGAAAAGGGCATAAACTGAGCCTAGTATTGCTGTAATTAATGGCTTGTAAAGTAACTACTGAAAATTGATTGTTTTTTATATAGGGTTGAGTGATTCTACTACAGTAGCCCAATACAGCAACGTGAACACAACCCTCTCCAGGGAAAATGTAACCCTGCCACACCGTAAGTGCAGGGGCAGATGTAGAATTGCATGTAGTTGTGGGGTTATATTATTGGCTCTGCTACAATACTCAGTTATATCTGGTAACTCACTTGATATTTCTAGGTCTCAATTTCTCCATCTGCACAGCAAGTGAAATGGTTACTTCTCCCAGAAGTTCTGTGTGACTAAAGTCACTGTTTATTGGAGATTTTTTTTAATTGTGAATTTGTATTAAATGTTGTTTATATCAAATTTAGATCTTGGGTCCAAACTTAAGTTGACTTTGTCCCCTTGAATGAAAGTGGGCACTCAGCTTCGGGCAGTTGATTTCCAGGCTGCCATGAGCTATATACAGGCAGTCCCCGGGTTACATGGATTCGACTTACATCGGATCCCTACTTACAAATGGGGTGAGGTAACCCGGCCCTAGCTGCTTCCCCCCAGCAGACCAGGGAGACGCGGAGCGGCTTTTCTCAGCAGACACCTCAGCTTGAGAATAAAGGACTGAGGGAAGTAAGGTGTGGGAGAATAAAACTGAGCTCTAGAGAAATGTTTGGCTAGAGTTTCCCCTACAATATGTACCAGTTCCGACTTACATACAAATTCAACTTAAGAACAAACCTACAGTCCCTATCTTGTACGTAATCCGGGGACTGCCTGTAAGTGACTTCTAAACATCATAGTCAGTGACGTCAAACACATTGTTTACATTATATGTCTGTCTCTTCTTAGGCACCCTATCTTCCAACACAATTGTTGATCCAGTTTCATTTACTAATCTCAGTGGTTTATCGACTATAAGGAATTTGGCTAATGGTACAGGTAATCTACTCATTCAAAATTATTTCCTTAACAGGGACACCATGGGCCCCTGGACCAGGGGGTTAGTGGTTCCACCCTCCCAGAAGGGGTGGGGTCTCTGGTGGAAGGGATGGGAAGCCCTCTGAATCACCAGACCCAAGGGTAATTGCCCCCTTTGCTTCCCTCCAACGGCAGGCCTGCTTCTTCATAAATATTTGTTTGCATATAAGAACATGAGAGAGTAATCCTCAGAGCTTTGGGTAGTTATACTCGTAGTAAAAAACCAACCAAAAAAGGAACAGACCACTATATGAAGGTCTAATGACAATTCTTATCTTCACAGTGTAGATAATCACAGGGGCTTTTGATATGTCTATCCTAGCCCATCTTGAGCAAAATAGTATATTGAGTGTGCTACTTGTGAGTAGCCACCAATAACTGAAAGATGATATCGGTTTGTGACGTTTCATGCACTGCAACTTTAAACAATATGACACACTTATAGAATTCCACAAATATATCAGTAAGTTACTGGTATTTATCCCCCTTCCCCCCCCCCCCCCCCCCTCCCTTTGATTGCTAGTGGACTAACAACATAGCTTTTATGCTAAAATATCATTAATTTATTTCACATCCATTATGATGCAGTAGTTTTCATTGGAGGTAATAATGATAATGCTGAGTTTGTGGCTGTGATGTCCCTGGCAGGAATGTCAGGATGTTGTACCTTGTAACCATCATACAAACCAGAATGTGTTCCAGAAATGTGTAAATGAAAAGTTACAGCAAGTTTCCCGTACTACTTGTAGTGCAGTGAGCAGAGCTATTACTGCTTATGGGTAGAGGGAAAACAACAGTGAGCTAAAGTTAATAGTTGGAGGGACAGGTTGTAAACTTTTCATTCACATTAAAAGAGCAGTCAGTCACACGAGTAGTTGAATTGACTCACATGGACTAGTGTGGTGAGCAACTGCACAACAGTGTGAATAATGAGTTCACACCCTGGTCCACAGTAAGTAAGAGGGATTTTCTTGCTGCCATACTTCATAACTTGTATCGCAATCAGACCCAATTTTTTTTGCAACTCTGCATTATTGGTGTTACCTTAAATTATTTTGAGCCTTCGGTAAGCTCAGTATTGACTTAGAGCTAGAGCATCATGGAACATATTCAACAGCACTGGAAGTCTGGTAGAATTAACTAACACACCCACACAACATGCATGAACCTGGTGTGCATTCTCTGAGGGGGCTGTGTTTGGTTAGCCACACAGAGAATCTTTTCAGGACACAATCTCTACTTAATATTTGAAATATTTGTAACTGGTTTGGGGAAAATATAGGAAAACTAGGTCTGTCCCCCCAGGTTTGGTGCAGATGGAAATCTGAGGGTATGTCTAGACTACATGGTTCCGTCGACGGAGCCATGTGTAAACTAGTTTACCAGGCATAGGCAAAGAAGCAGGGATTTAAATAATCCCCGCTTCATTAAAATAAACATGGTTGCCGCGCTGTGCCGACGATCAGCTGATCTGGCACAGCGCAGCAGTCTAGACATAGATCTGTCGGCTGGGGAAGCCTTTGCCAATAGATCCCTTATACCTCATGAAATGAGGTTTACAGGATCGGTAATAATCGGAAATTCCCTTTTGGGGGCGGGGGAGGAGGGCTGTGTTTCCATGCCTTGGAATTATAGCGTTTTCTCTGCCTTTTTCAGGTACCAAGGTGAAACCAGAGAATGTTCATTTCTCCTGGCCAGCAGTTGTAGCAATCTTGCTTCTGTTATGCTCTTTTCTAATCCTTTTAGGAATCAGAAAATGGTGTCTGTACCAAAAAGAAATGTAAGTATTAGTATAAAAAATGGTGAGGAGAAATAGAGATGTTAGTATGAGCTCCAACAAAAAGTTTCAGACTCAAGTTCAGATCAATTTCATTTGTGTACATTAATAGAAACAAAAAATATGGAAATACTGTTGTGTGACATGTAACTGAAGATTAGTGTTAAATATCCTTCAGTTTAACTTTCTACATAAGAGAGCTTAGTCTCATTAAATATTTGGGGAAATATAGAGATTGTAAACTAAACCTCTTTAAACATACTCTGGCTATTCTGGATAAGCAGTTAACTGCAGTAAAGTTGTATTGATCCTTGGATTGTTAACCCCTTGAGACAGGGCATTTGTTTTATTGAGGGTTGTAAATTTCCATGTGCAGCTGTAAATCTTTGTAAATGTGTTTCCATATATATCAATGCAAGTAACAGTTTGCATCCTTATTCACCATCTCAAGGAGTAAAAAATGTGTGTTGCACACAGAGGTGGGAGGGGTGGGGGACAAGAGAGCTCACATTAATGCCGGAACATCATTTTGAGCCACAGAATAGATTAACAGGGGTGGGGAACCTTTTTTGGGCCGGTGGAGCAGAGAGGGGGCCTGACCCACAGAAAAATCAGTTGGGGGTGTATACAAGTGAGAAAGGAGAAGGAGAAAGCCACTCCCCACATTCCCCTTGCACACCACAGTTTAGGAGGACCCAGGCTCCTAGATTTTGTGTGCTCCACCTCATGCGGGTGGATGCCAGGGGTGCTGGAGCACCAGTGCAGGCTCCCCAATGCTGAGCCTCGGGGGTCGGATCCAGGCAAGCTGGGGGCCGCATCCGGCCCCCGGGCCTGAGGTTCCCACCCCTGGAGTTAGAATATGAAGGTGAGAGAACAACCTTGAGCTCTATAAAATGTTAGAGAAGAAAGAAGCCAAAATTCTCTCTTACCTTTTGGCTCTCTATTTCTTGCCATTTTCTCTATTAACTTTATATTGATTTTTACATCGTTAGCTGTTGTGTTTTCAACAACTTTTTTTGTTATTCTAGTATGAACAGACCTCCATCTTTCAAGCCCCCGCCACCTCCAATAAAGTATGCATCCATGATAGAATCTGATGGAACTACCCAATCCTGCCATGAACTGGAAACTTTGTAATGTTTCTTGGAGTCTTCCTGAACAGTCTTCAAAGAATATTAAATCTTGTCACCCCGTAAGCCTTTTAAGATGCAGGTTGCTGGAGTTCAGTATGAATGACCTATATTCAAAGTCAAACTTCTACACCGACAATGTCAAAAGCAAAGCACTCCAGTGTACGCTTTTTCATCCGTTCCTCTGACAGACTGAAGTCTAACTGAAGCATGTTGAAGTTTACAGGTGCTCAGCTTGGATTGGGTGATCAGATGGGACTATGCTGTCTTAATAATGGGAGTAGATTAGCACATGTGTCACTTTATTAATCTTCCTAGGAAAAATGTTGAAGCCGTTTCTTTTAGTATGCCTATAATGATGATCACTTTAAGTATATGGCAGACATAATTACTCCACAGTCTTAGTGATACTTTGGAAGCTTTCTGACACATGCATGAGCAGTTTTTTAAAATTATAATCTTTCTTACTATACAAATACTGATATATGGTAAGGTTAGCCAATGCTAACCTTTAAAGAGCAGGAGCATTCATTGTAGGTCAATTGTCCACATATATCAGTGGCATCTAATGAGGACTCACCTGGAAAGGCTGAAGGGAAAGGAGGCTGCCGTTTTCCTCTGACGTAAACAGCTAAGAGCACCTGGCTGCGTATCTTGAATCTGCCAGACCAAGAAGAAGTCAGGCTATCCTGCATGTCATCTTGAGTGGGAGACTAAAGGACTGAAATGCATAACCATCCAAAGGGGGGATGATATTGAAACAGTGACTGTTTCCAAGGAGAATAGCAATTGTTCAAAGGTAAAAATATTTTCTGAGGTATATTTTTATTGTATATCAAATATATTGACCTCAGTAGATAAAAAAGAACACCGTTCTTCATTTCTCACTCTTCATTTGTAAATGTGAGCTGAGAGAATCCTGTTGAGAACGGGTTTAGTTCTTGGCATTTGCAAAATATATCTTAATATTGAAGTCAACTTTCAGGCATGTACGAAATCAATCTTCAACTAGGAGCAGTACAATTAATGTAAAGAAATACCATCATGATAAAGGTTTGTTTCACAAGGAGCCAAAATTCAGACATGATGTGTTGGTTTCGTAATGGAATAAGAGCACTTTCTGCAATAGAAGTGTTGTGGAGTTTACAAATGCTACTGTATTCTTCTTGGCACAGAAAAGGGATCACCTTTTCCAGGACTGAAATGTATCTACATCAAGTGTGAAACATATATGATTAACTGCACTGAGCCATTCATATAAAGTACAAGACAAAACAAAGAAAAATAATAGCATATTCATTTAAAACTTGAGGGAAAATGTAGAAAAACCCACAAAAATCCCACCCTGAAATGCTGCTAGGCAATGGCTGCAAGCTTTGTTTAAAAAAAAAAAAAAAAAAAGAGCAAGGAATTTCCAATGGCTGCAAGTGGTCATTATCATGGTTTTAATAAATGATCCAAAAGATGTGATCTCCAAGGCTTTCAGGGGAAAATGCCATGTTCATAACTAACTTCATTCCTGGCACCACCCTGGGTTTTCCTTGGAGGTTTTTGATCCAAGCCCAACTTGGACTTCAGGGTTTAGCATAGCACCTATTACTGCTATTCAGAAAAGCTTCCCCATGACATAAATCTGCCTTTCAATATCCATGGTGGATTCTATGCAATCTTCCATTCTTCTCCCCTCCAGACTTAGGAGTAATTTTAGTTTTGATCAACATTTTGCATTTATATTAGAAATGCTTCCTCAAAGATGTGCGATCTTGTCATAAGCCTTGAAAATAGCCAGACTCTGACTTGGGCAATCCTTTCATGTAACTGTTTCCGTAGCCAAACTCCTTAAACCAAGGACGTTCTGCCTTCAGCTTCCAGGAACTTTGTCCTGGGCACTGTGATCTACCTTTTCCCAAGTGCCTGGGCAAGTCATGGGTGAAGGCTTGGACACTGCTGTAACTGAGGTAGTTAATGCACGTCTCTCTACAAGCAATGAATGCAATAGTGTGTGTCCAAGTCCTGAATTGGTTTAACCCTCCTGGACTATTTGAGATATTGCAAGGTCACACTGAGGAGAATAAAATTGAATTAATCTAGGTTGACATCAGCGTAACCACTGTCAGAACCCAGTTCCATCAGTTCATTGTAATCCTAAGTTTTCTGAAACTTAATATGTATTTTTCCCCTTTTCATTATTTATTTTATTTTCAAGAGTAACTATTCAGCCATGCAGAGAGAAAAATTTGTGCCATCACAAATTGATAAGTCCATTTATGTGCATATACCTATGAGCACAATGTTTCTCCCATAGACTTCCTGCCCTCATAATATGAAGCTGGTCTGTCTCGCATCTTGCTTCAATTTTTTATATATAAGACTTGAAGTTGGAAAAAGAAATATTAAGTAGGTGTAATGGCACCTTGCCACCAGAAGGTGGCTCCATAATAGTAAATGCAATTCTCTGGCAAGTAGCCAGGACAATAAAATGATGCACATCCTTACTTATTTTTGTTGGCCACAGGTGAAATAATGAGTGTGAAAATATTTGATGCAAACTTTATTTCAAAAATAGAGTAGGAAACTTATAAGAGGCAAAATTTGCTCCAAAACCCAGAGAAATATACAGCACGCCCTTTACTTTTAGGAAAGAAGAGATTCTTTTTTAAAAAGTTCATTTTCTCTAGTCTCCTTCCTTGAACTGTATATATAATGTTGCTCCAATACAGACTAGTGACAGAAAAGGCAATCATAAATGTCAACCATTTACTTCATTTTTCAAGACATGGTTTCTGAATGAGATCAGTCAGTTCATTACATAATACAATTATATGCTGGCACAAAGCCACACCTTGAGGGAGGCATCAGGAGGTCAGCTTTGGGATATATATATTTCACCTCTAGGTTACAGTTGTCACTTCAGACTTGGCAGTTAATGACTGTTTAATAGCCTGTGTGAAATGTCCTGGGTAGATTCAGTCCATTAGGTTGATACAGGGCCACATCACCAAAGCCATCCCAGACCCGACATTTTTGCAGGCAGAGCCTAGAGGGGTAAGTAGCCTATAGGCATTGATACTGAAGTATCTTCTTGATGCTCTAGGTGGTCTGTTCCTGCCCTCACCACGGAAGCATGTGGACAAGGGGTAGCATATTGGATACATGTCTAATCTCCGCTGTTGGTTCACAAGTTACCTCCACTGGTCTTTATTTACTTGAATAAAAATCCTGTGTGGCAGATGTTTTTCCTTTCCTATTTATCATCAGCTGCACAATTGAGTAGCATGGATAGCAGGAAGGAAGGGCTTGTGGGTTCTTGCCCCTTTAGTAGAACACTAAAGGGCCGGAGAAGGGAGATGCTCATTGTCACTAATCATGTTAGGAATACTCTGTGGCTATGACTAGACTGGCATGATTTTCCGTAAATGCTTTTAACGGCAAAGTTTTCCGTTAAAAGCATTTTCGGAAAAGAGCGTCTAGATTGGCACGGATGCTTTTCCGCAAAAGCACTTTTTGCGGAAAAGTGTCCGTGCCAATCTAGACGCGCTTTTCCGCAAAAAAGCCCCGATCGCCATTTTCGCCATCAGGGCTTTTTTTGCGCAAAACAAATCTGAGCTGTCTACACTGGCCCTTTTGCGCAAAGCTTTTGCTCAAAAGGACTTTTGCCCGATCGGGAGCAGTATAGTATTTCCGCAAGAAGCACTGATTTCAGACAGTAGGAAGTCAGTGTTCTTGCGGAAATTCAAGCGGCCAGTGTACACAGCTAGCAAGTTTTTCCGCAAAAGCAAGTGCTTTTGCAGAAAAACTTGCCAGTCTAGACACAGCCTGTGTGTTGGGGGAGGAGGGGAATAGGAAACACTGAGAAGGAGAAAGGAAGTATCTAATTCCCAGCCCTAACTACATCACTTTCTATGGGCATCACGTACCACAAACGGTGGGACTTGTGACCAGTTCCAACTTATGAGTGTATGAGTTTGCATACCAAGGATTAAGCCTTGTTTACCTAATGATAGTAAACAGCTATACAATGGAAGGTGTTTGATAAGTGCAAATATTTATAATATTTACATGATTAAATTATACTACTTGTATGATAAAAGCTGAAAAAAACTTTAAAATTAGTGCATTTTGGAAAAAATAACATCATAAATGCAACCTACAGAACAAAAACAATAATTGGATGTTGCAGTTTACTTGTATTTGTCTGTATTTTACTTTTGTATGTATATGATTTAGTTAGTGTCCTTCCAAAAAGTGCATACCACATAGGTTGAAGGTCATGTACTTTGAAGCCATTCAGCTGGGTGTATATATTAATGTATTTGTTTACTTCCTTTCAAACATATAAAACATTGAATGTTTGTAGAATGGGAAAAAAAGATCTGAATGTCTGTTGAACTAGAAACAATAAGTGCAAAGTAGTTGTTTTAAGAAGGAAAAACCAAATGAACACCCATTAAATGGGGGGATAACTGGGTAGGTGATGGTACTGCTGAAAAGATCTGAAGGTTACAGTGGATCACAAATATAATGAGTTAACAATGTGATGCAGTTGCAAAAAAGGCGAACATCACTCTGAGGTGTATTACCAGGAGTGCCCTATGTAAGATATAGAACTCTACTTCACTTGATGCTACCGAGGCCTCGCCAGAACTGTATTCAGTTCTGGGCACCGCACTTTAGGAAACATGGAGAAATTGGAGGAAGTCCAGGAACAAAAATGGTAAAAGTTTTATAAAAACAGACCTGTGAGGAAAGGTTAAAAAAACCTGGGCAATTTAAGTGTTAAGGAGATGGGGAGGGGTGACCTGCTAAGTTTTCAAATATGTAAAGGTCTGTTATAAGGGTTATGATTACCTGTTTTCCATGTCCACTGAAGGCAGGACAGAAAGTAAAGGGCTTAATCTACATCGAGAGATTTCAATTAGTTATTAGGATCTACTTGTTACTTACAAGGATAATTTAGTACTAGACAGTTTCCAAGGAAGGTTGTGGAAGCCCCATCATTGGAGGATTTTTAAGAACAGGTGAGACACGTGCCTGGCAGGGATGGTCTAGGTTTACTTGCTCCTGCCTCAACTCAGGAGTCTGGACTTCTCAAAGTCCCATTCACCACTCAAGGTCCCATTGTTCTAAGTTTCTATGACTCTATGATTATTCTATTTTCAGTATATAGGGCTTCAGCCAGCATCCACTAATGCCAATAGGAGTCTTGAATGGAGTTCAGTTGGACCTTCACTAGAATTGCCACTGCCCTTTTATCTCATTGTTCATTGTTGTGCTTATCAAGACTATTGTCTAGTCTAGTTATTTTTCACCTGCTCTCACTGAATTATTGGAAGTCACCTGTGAGGAAGCCTTCCAGATTTCCATCATGTAGAGCACACAAAGAAAGTATTTCTGAAACCAGTTGTTGCCATAGATCAGATAGCAGCTCCTGTGTGAGACAGCTGGGAGATTACAGGACATGCAAATGATCCCACCAAGTGTTAAGCCTCTGAGCCTTTTAATACCTTCTGCATCACTCTAAATGATATGTATCTTGAATGGCATTCTGCCTAGTTTCTAAGAGACCCCTTTTTGTACTGTAGGATATTGGCCATGGATTGTTGTTTGAAAGGGACAAATATTATTTCCATCATGGTTCTCTGTCTTGTTAATCATTTAAATGTGTGGATTTTTTCCCTCAGGAGGTGGGAGAATGCAATCTGATTGAAAGTTCTAGAGTAGGATTAATAAGGGTAATGGTTCCTGCTAATTAGCATTATCTCCTGGAGAAATAGTCCTCCTTAATACAGATCCAGAAAGTAAGTTTCTAGTTTGTTTCAACAGTGTCTTCCAAAGTAACTGTTTGGAAGTTACTTTTGGTAAACAAATCCTAAAAAGCACATTGTTCTGGATTTCTTTCTGGAATTTAAGTCTTCATTTATAAGAGCAAGCAAACACACATTGGAAAGTACTGAACATTGGTGTACTGAAACCACAGGAGGAGGCAGATAAAATGAGAAATCAAACTGGTGTTTGGTCAGAGAAAAAATAACCTTTGATTAATATGGACTGTGACTCACACTGAGTTTTGTGACTCCCAACAGTGTTATGGACAATGAGCCAAGAACAGGTGTGCCTATGAGTTCTGCTGAGGTTTGTTATTGCAATCTTGTAGAAATATGTTTAAATATCATTTTTTTTAATCACACAATATTTAAAATGACTCCTTTGGAGACTGATCCAAAGTCTTTGAAAGTCAGTGCCAATTTTTATGTTACTTTAAAGGACGTAGGATTAAGCC